AATAATCGTCAGTTAAATTTTGAATAAACGATTAAGAAAAAAATATTAAGCTAACACACAAAAGAAGATTATTATTAAGAACATTCACACTTAGAAAGCTTAATCTGCGGGTAATTCAAATATATTATTTGATTTGATTTGATTACACGACATTGGAACACTACAAGAAGTTAGACATAGCCCTATCTTTTATATTATAAAAAAAACACTATATTTTACAGCGGCCTGTGTATTCATTGCAACATACAGGCCTCCTCCGTGGGTAGTTCTGCTTCTTAGATATTTTAAAGTTAATAATTCTTTTTTTGGGAAAAGGGATACTTTTCTTTAATAAAATCCCAGAGGCTCTTTTATCTCTGCCTTTTAATAAATTTAAGAAATGTATAAAGAAAAGCTGTACAGCTTTTTTAATACATTTATAAGGCTTACTAAAAAGTTAACGATTATCTAGTTGATAAAAGGGCCTATGACTAGCTTTTAATTAATTTGTGATATTTGTTTTAAAATAAGTTTTGTTTGCCATAGTTATTTTGTATGATGATTTGCTATTTTATAACAGTACCGAGAGTTTTTTACGCCGGCTTTTTCTCTCGGCCTACACCCTCTGTCTTCTTTGCCCATGAGTAGGGATGTCTATCGATTCAAATAATGACGTGGAATATTTGATACCTATATCTTATATCCCATAATAAACGTATTTTATTATATTTTTATTAACATTATTTTGGATATTGCCCGCTCTACGCCCTTGACTTGCGAACAAATAAAAACAAAGTAAATGTAAATTTACAATTAATTTAACTTATTATATTACTTTCATAAGTGTACTTGTTTACCTATACAAATAAAGTTATTTTGAGTTTGATAGCCTGGTAAAAGCTGACCTGACTTGCCTTAAAGAGGAAAGGAAATATGTCTGCCCTTCCTTGGTCACGGGTTTAATTGTATTATTATATATTTTGCTTTCCTATGATACAAATACGTAGCAATGTAATATATGGGAGTGTAGCGTTTCTGGTAAGTAAAGAGATACTGGGGCGAAAAGGTAAAATGAAAGATGAAACATTTGTGCATTTAATTGTGATAGTTGATCATTTGTAGTACAATACGCGATGATACGCGACATGATACGTCATTTTATTACGTCCGTTTGTTCAATCTCAATAAAACTACTCGTTACGTCTTACGTTACCTACATTCTCACCACAGCGGACCTAGTAATATTTTTTTATATCTTGTCAGACTAGTAAAGTTGCGAAACTTCATACTTTCATGTCAAGATAAAATTTTAGCGTCACTAACTTTGTAATTTTCCACCGATTGCCGCCAGGGTTAAGTCGGCGTCCATATTTTGTTACAGACTAGTTATAAACAAGTTTCTTAGAAATGTCTAATGATGTGTCATTAATTAGTGTCGATATTTCTGAAGAATTTTTTATTGTTCTTGGGTGAAATAAAATGAGACAAATATTTTGTTTCCATGTAATTTCAATTAGTCGAGAAAAAAATGGAATTCTTATATATCTCTATGTGTTACTGAGGTTATTAGTTATCTGTAATAAACGACAAGTATATATATAAGTATCGCAATACAGTGAGGAAATGCTGCCAGCGTCAAAGGTCACAGGGACCAAACTTTTTAAATTTGTTTCGATTTTACTTTTAATAATTTTTATTATTTGTAGGTTAAGAAATTTGTGAGTACAAATTAAGTAAACTAGATTATTAATATCTATTTAAACTAGATAAATAAACGCTGCGATTACAAAAACGACATATTTATTTTATTTTATTTATTTCATAAATTTACAAAACTTTACACACAACTTAACATGCGGGCAGATGTTGGATACAAATTTAAATGCATATTTAAATGTGAACTAGTATCGAAATAGGTCAGCCTATAAGTTAGAGACGTGGTACGTTTTTAAAATTACTTTCTTTCAAAGGTATTAGGAATTCAGCATTTCCGAAAATCACCTAGACGGGATATCTTAGTTTGAATATAACAAGTAAAACACAAAAGCACATACATTGACTTATAAATTAAAAAAAACGTGTGTGTACTTATGTACACGCGAAGTTATACTTCTTTGACGTAACAAGATAAAAATATTTTCAAAACTCATACTATGTTTGTAGAAAAAACTACACTAACAATAGAAAAAACTAAAATAGCTAACTTCAGGTATTCATTTTTTTGTGAAGGAGCGCGCGCGCACTGTAAAAATTTACTCTCATAATTTTTCCCTAACGCGCCAAAAGAAGTATAACTTCAAAAATAAAAAAATGTGTTTATTTATTTGACAACAATTCATCATAATGTTTAAGATTTGGGAACCCTTTTAAGTAAAAACTAAAAGTAACTTGACACATTGATTTTGGTTATTTTGACAAACTATTTCTAACTGTTTTAAAAACTAATTGTTTATTCATCATAAGAAAACATTTTTCTATGTAACGTCGACTATAATGTTGCTTTAAGCTTTTGTCATTAAAAAAACAAGAGATGAAAACAAGTCTTAATGAAAACAGATTATACTACCGATGAGAAAGCTTAGCAAAGTAAGGAAAAAAATAAGATCCACAACAATGAGCATACTATTCAAGAAAATAATTAAAAATAAGAGACATTACACGTTTATTGTAAAGCTAGACTACAATGGGGTTAATACTCGTGATAATTGTTAAGTAAAAATTGTGTAATTCTTGTAAAGTGAACAAAATTGTGCGTATCTTTTTAAACAATATTTTTAAATTTATTAACTTTCGTGGAATTACCTGTAGGTGGCAGATATTTTTTTTCTGTCCAACACTACAACAATTCTATTGCAAGCTATGATATAGGTACATGCACTATGCAGCAAATGTAGGGTTTTTCGTGGACACACGTAGCAAAAATCCAATATATGTATATTTGTATATGTTTTTCAGTAAAGCGTACTGTTTCTTACATTTTGTCCTATAGGTACTCTAAGTATAAGCTATACACAGCTATGTTGACTAGACTAGAATAAATCCACTCCTTATTTCGTTGTAAATACTTTTTAAAACTTATTTACAAATAAAATATTGTTAAATTCATAAATACATAAAATATTATGTAAATATAACATTTAACGTCTATGTGTGGCTCTCGTGTGACTGACACATTAATTAACAGTTAAGATTTATTACAGGGACTATGTAAAATCGTAAAAGTTTACGACTCACGTTCAAAACGTTACCGTTTTACAATAGACAAAATTATGCAAACTAAAAAAACAGACTAAAATAAACAACATATTTTTTTTAAAACATTCTTGAGACACCTTAATAATAAGTAATGATACAAGTGATACAACTACATAAGTTAAACGTTCAATAAACAAGAATTGAAGATAAAACTTCGATAAAATACGTCTAAATGAAAATGTATGGCACTCCAGCGATAGAGGTTGTTAAAGTGACAGTAAATTCATATGCAAATGATAAAGGAATACGACATAAAAAGCGACACGTCAATAAATAAACATTTTACGTCTGCGAAGTTATAACGTTGAACTTCAGTTTTAGCTTTTACGAGGAAATTGTGGACATTTATACTCATAGCATCGACAATACTTATTACTAATTTGTGGTAGATAAAAAGTTGAATTCAAAACTTAACTAACAATTTCGATATATTTTATATTTTACTGTCCACAAAAGTTTTATGCAAGTCCAAGCTTCAATGTACTTTATTAATACATGTCAAAGTTCAAGGTCACAGCTTATTACATTTACATATTACAATAGCTGCGGTGTGGAAAGGCTTCAATTTGTTATACAAGAACAATTTAACTGCTCGCATTAATAAGTAACACCCATTTAGCGCGGCTCGGCTCACGTTAGTTCAACTATTCAAGCAGTAATTTAAATGCTAGGGACGTTATTTTTCTAAGTCTTACATACACAAATACATATTTTATCAAGCTTTAAATACTTTGACCATACTTTAGTAAAATGTCACCTATATTTTATTACGTAGTCGTCAGTAAACGATTCGCGTATATACATAAAAAGCTAGTTGCAGCAAAGTTTTTTATAAAACGTCAGATTTGGTCTTAAAATACGTTCGCATAGAAGTCACGCGCGATTCTTTTTTTGACATTCATCTTTAAACGTGGTGCGTAATTTTAGGTTTAATCGCAATACCAGTGCATATTGTTTGATGTATTTTGAGATAATCGCATAAAGCTATATTTGTCATAACAAACATTGGCCATGTGACTTATAAATGTCATGAATGAAAGACGCTCGGCCAATGATTTGTTGAAATTAGTAACATGTTAGACAGACTGAAAATTAATACTTTAAGTGATTAAATATTATTTTTAACGCCTCATGGAAGTATTTAATGTATATAAATGTTATAAAGATACAAATCGCTCCACGTAGGCGTAAAGGGTTCTTAGAAGTGCTACGACATCCTACGCAGTGAATTCCGTGATTTTCTACAGAATGTTCGATATCTATTAAAGTGCAGAGGAAATTGCAATAGTTTATACTACGAGGATGCTTTATATTTATTCCTGTAGCGAAGTATTGAGAACGAGCTTTTGAGGGCAACGCGCAATGCAGTTATTGCAATTGCAGGGTTTTAGCGCCCCTTGAAAACTATTTTACTAATTAAAGTAACGTGGTATAGAATTTGAAATTTTCCAAGTAAAATCTTGATTTATTCGACATTTTATTATTTTTTGGGATTTCTTAAACACCTTTTATAGTTACGAGAAAATAATTACAAATATTTTTAGTATAACATGGCGTTCGCTTAGAATATTATAATTTAAAAATACAAATTTATTCTTCGTCGTTCTAACTAAAATTAATCGAAAATTGACAATAAATTATATAGATTTTATTTTCATTCAATTTGGCCGCTATTCAATAACGAAAATGTAGGCCTATTCATGTTTTCAGACAGAATTATTTGCTATTCAGGTAGCCATTAATGATTCCAGAGTTCGATTCAATAATTAGTCGGTGTATAATCCTTCGTAAAGGCATCGAGGCATATGTTCAGCTAGAATGGACTTGAGTTTCTCCCTGGGTGATACTGGAGTGTAGCGGGCAAGCGGGAAAGTACGTGTAACGCCATCACTTAGCGCTCGAGTGACAGCTGTCAGATCCACATCCTGTAAAAAGTCAATATCATTGTAAAATTCCTATATCTACTGTAATGTGTTATGACGTACTTGTCATATAGATAATATAATACATAGAGACAAAAGTATTCTTCATCAAAATTGTTCAGTAATTTTGTTTTTGTTTTTTATCGCTTGCAAAATATCATGTAAAGATAAATTAATGCTCTAAATGAAAATATATTTTATAAAGATGAAATATATTTTCATGTAACTACTAACATAGCATGAAAGTGAAGTAACAAGTGGTCTAATTTGGTATTAAACATAAATATTATTTAAGTATAAAACTTTTAACATCAAAGTTAAAATAGCATCGAAAAGAGATTCTGAGGCCAAGACTTAATTTGTTGTAGCATCACTGCATGATAACTAATCGAGAAACTATTTTATTTTATTAGTTTCTTTTATTAGCGTGGAGACTATATGAAACTACTTAAATCTATTAATAACAGTTTAAAACTCTAATAGAAATATGATTAAATAATTCTGTTTCCATTTACGAGCTCATACAATATGCACGGAATATGTTGAGCCAGAGTTATCAATTATTTCATAACTAAATTTTAAATGAGGTTTTTATCAGATCCGTACATGTGTAACGCAGTGACATAATTATTTACCGCATTTATTATTTGCCATTGCATTGCATTTATTATATGATATTATATACACGTATTTCAACTTATTTTATATTTTCTTGCAACTTTCACCAAGAAAACAAGAATAGAGTTCTGTTGTGTGTTTTGTAAGTTGAGACGAGTCACTGCTTTTATAGAATGCAGTTCTTCATAACGTGACAACAAAGCCGACTTAGTATAAAGAAAACAAAGTGCGACGTTATGTTTAAACCTACCTTTTATGATGACGTTTTAAGTATTTTTAATTTAGCACAAAATAAGTGGATGAATATTAATCCATTATTGAAATATCCATATTATTACTATTATTGAAATATCCATAAAGGGATCTTACTGCTTCTTACAGTTGTCAAATGACAGTCGATTGATGGCCTATAGCGTTTGACTGTAAATGGTCAAGTGATCGCGCGACAAGATACGTCATTCCATGCATCCAATCACTATGACAATTAAGTCCATTGAAATGTTACGTTTGCTGAACATTTGTTAGAGGACGCAATTTTATTTATGGAACATGTAGGGGGGGGTCATTACACGCTTAACCTCAAGTTTGTGGGGTTGGCGTGCTTGTCCCCCGGCCGCCATCTTGGAAGAAGGGGTGCAAAAAGCACGTTTTGGCTATATCTCTTAAACTATCCATCGTACATAAAAATTGTAAAGACACATTTTGTAGCCAATCGGTGTACCTACTAATTATATCTATGTAATTTTTTATCATAAATCCAAAATTCAAAAAGTTATAAGTAAAAAAGTGAGAATACAGTCAAAACCGTTTAAAACGACATCGTTTACAACGACATCAATTTCTATTACATCACCCAGATTGTAGGTCCTGTCCTAATCCCTAGTATATATTAAGTTAACAATATAGCTTTATAACATCGGATACACTGACATATCGCTTACAACGAAAATTTTATCTATATTCACTCGGCTATAACTCGGACTAACCGCTGTCTTGTCTCAGGCAAAAGCCACCTCAAACCCTTTTAAATCTTATTTATAAGCATTGAATGGAATATTTTGCATAGTATTACCACGCAGTTTCTCCGCCTCAAGTCCGAACCTATTCCGGGCCATTTGACCTTATACTTTTACATGTTTATGTGGCTGATCTGACTTCCCGCGGGAGCAACCGTTTGGTTGGAAAGTTTTGATTACGTTTTAGTCTCCTTTAGATTTTTACTTACCATATTTGTTTTCCCATACCTTTCCGGTTTTAGATAGATAACTATGATAATTTAACTATGTACATAGGTATGCTCGCGTGTGCTTGTTGTTTTGACATTGCTTCCCGGACGTCGGCAACTATACTGTCCCTTCCTATATATTGTAGTATAAACGGTTTTGGCTTGTATTTTCTTTTTGTCCTGCATTGTTGACCGTTTTAGTCATGTGTTTTTCAAAAGTAGATCAATTTTCTGTTTCATCTGTAGACTTACTATCTTAAGTTCTTACTTATGTATATTAAACTTAATTGAAAAATATGTTTAGACATTCCACGTAACAATTTAATTAATGGAAAATGAAAGGATATTTTGAGATTTATAAAAAAGTAATAATAATGAATATCTGTTGAAGAGGCAGTTTTTTAAATAACACACTGTCTTTAATGACACAATAGGACAACCCAGGACGGTTGAGATGGAACAGCTAAGTTTACATTGCTACTGTTAAATATTTTAATACAATGTAAAACCAAGATACAAATAAGTTTATGTTGCTTGTGTTGCTATGTTAAATATTTTAATACAATGTAAAACCTATATTCACCTAAGGTTCATTTTCAGTTGATATATTGTTAGGTTTTGTACATAGGGCACACATTTCTTGAACTTTGAACTTCGCTCTATAAATAAAAAAATAAAGCGTTAAATTTTGAATTAATTGCTAAAAATATGAATACGAAACATTTAAAATGAAACGGATACATTATTAAATTATGCATCTGTAATTGAAACATAATCCGTATTTGTTTCTCGTAATTTGTACGTCAATTTATTTACTCGCTGCGTATTATAATTCAAATAATTAAACGCGCAATATAGAGCTTTGAAAAGCTTTTAATTGAATAACTATTCAAGAAAATCTCAGCGTGTCCTTAACATATATTTGAAAATACGTAGACTTTGGAGTTTTATTCAATCAAAACGTTGAATTAGTCCACGTTGTATAGCTTGAAACGAAACCTAATTTACTGAATAGCTATTTCAATTTTGAGATAAGTCTTGACAGGGTCAGGTTAGCTTGATGACAATCTAGTTTTCAATTATTCAATACGAGATAACTTTAATATATAGGGACTACTAAGCTATTATAATAATAATATCCTTATTCGCTTAGCTCCTTCTCTATCTTCCCTTAAATTTCTACTCTACAAACATTACCTGTCCAAATCGTATCCCTAACTTCCGTACTTCTAACTGACGTGAATTCTAAAATTATCGGGATTCATGTGCACTTTTTATTTTTGATGTATGCTTTTTTAGTTTAGTTTTTTTGGTTCCTGTTTAGATTTGTCGTTATAACTAAATGCATTATGTATTTTTGCACTTCTTGCTTACCTTACCTTATCTAATTTAACACATTTTTTTACAGTGTTTGCCTGGAAGAGATCGCTCGAAAGCGATAATTAAATTAAGTGAAATTAAATGAAAAGTTAATTTTTATTATGTTAATGCAACGAAGTGATAATAAATAAATAATTTACCAATAAAATAATACAGAACCTATTTTTCCCTACCAGGTTAGAAGATTCAAAATTTATTCATAACACTTGATTGAAGCTGTGATGTTATTCAATATAAAATTGTTTTCAACGACCAACTCAAATTTATCATCAAGTCCCAATAGCCTTGTGTTTCAAACTAGTGAAGTTTAATGACGGTCACACGCGCGCCGTGCAGCCAGGCGAGCTGCCTGGGCGGGCTGCGCGGCATGCAGCCCCCGCCCCGGGCCGGCGGACATTCAAGCTGTTCACACGCACGCCGTCGTGTCTCGTGTGGGACAGCGAGGATCTCGGTGTTGTTGCTGCCATACTCCTTTGGCTTAACTTATTTTTATTGGAAAAAGAAACAAAATTATTATATTCCGCCATGTTGTAATTCCGATTAGGACTTTCTTAGAAGTTGAATGAAATCCACTCGTCGCGAAAGCGCGGGAGAGATGACTCCTGGGTGTAAACATCACGGGCCCGCACATTCATCCTTTGAACTTTGCCAAAACCGACACTGCCCGATTCGCATTAGTTAAGGGTTCAGGGCTCGGGTACCGTTTACGCTTGTGGAATGTAAATGTGCAGTTGAATGTAGAGTTGAACGGGCGCGTGTGAACTACATAAAACAACGAAATGCTTGCCACAATAAACCAGTCATTGTGGTTGAAGCCGGCTTAAATCAAAGTTTAATTTCCGTTTCTAGCCACAGAACATTCTAGCATACAACTGCATAATCTTCATGTTTTGACTTGTTCAAAACACTAGCTTCCGTATATTTTTATCATGGTAACATAAGAAAACCTATAACCTTACTTAACTTAACGTGTTATAAACTAAAGCTTTTATTATTGATATACTTACAAAAAAACAATTAACAATTACTCTTTTAAATGTAAAATCAAAATCCTTATCATCAGATATTCATTATTATTTTTTATAAATCTCAATCATGTAAATAAATAAATAAATCTCCTACGTATATGACAAATCCTTTCATTTTCCATCAATTAAATTGTTACGTGGAATGTCTAAACATATTTTCAATTCAGTTTAATATACATAAGCAAGAACTATAAGGATCTTCGGTGATGTGAAAAAAAATTTTTTTTTTAAGAACAGGTTCCAAACGGGCAGGAGGATCATCTGATGGTAAGTGATACCTCCGCACATGGACACTCAATGCTAGAGGGATCGCGAGTACGTTGCCGGTCCTTTAAAAATTGCTACGCTCTGTTCTTGAAGGACCCTGAGTCGAAATGGTTCGAATACTTCAGTGGGCAGCTGGTTCCACATAGTGGTGGTGCGTGACAAAAACTCAGATATCGTATTGCGTCAAACCTTGAACCAGGAATGTGAAAACGTCTGTACTCTATGCGTTCATTACTCTGTAAGGGTAGCTCAAGCTCAGTACAGCCTAGTTTGAGACACTCACAACCCTCTTAGTTGAAGTCTGGAGACTCCTCAACGCTGTGAAGTAGTTCTCACCCGCCCTTTTGCTCGTCTCAAAGTCGTTTCCACAGATCACGTGCTTGTTCTAGAAAACTCCGCTGTGATATCGTTCGTTATGATCCCTTATCTGAATCTAAATAAAAATCTTGAGCTATAAAGTACATATAAAGCCGTGTTGGCTCAGGGGATTTTTGTTGCTATTTTACTTATAACTCATCCCTAACACGGAAGTGACTGTATTGACTTTATTATCTTGGAATCAATTAGCAATGAAAATCCTTAGCCTAATCTCGTGCTAACTATAACAAATATATCATATTCTAGTGAACAGTTGAGTAGTTCATAGTTCGAGAATAGAATTATGTATGTATTAATGTTGCTGTACAAAGGAAATGTAGTAAAAATCTAATGAATGTACAATTTCCTACTTCACAATATTAGCTTTTAAACACCAATATCCTAAAAAATCGTTTTGGAAGGCGATAATTTTTCTGCTAAATAAACTACCACTGTCATCAACATTAAAATATATACCTTAATTTAGGGTCATTATTTATTTGTAAGCAAAGGGTATATCCTTTTCTGCGCGTACATTTCATTTTTTTTCTGTTTCGAACTTAGGAGTCCAATCCAATACGCCTTTTTCATTTCCAATTAAGACTCTGTGTTATTCTTATGCAGAGGCATAATTTAGTTTTCGCAGAATTCACATATATACGACACATATGCTTAAAGAAAAAACTGTTTGACCGGATTGAAGTTATGTATTATTATAAATTTACAACTATTTAACATAATTTTAAATTTATCCGACGTTTCGCGTGCTTTACAGCGTGCGTGGTCACGGTGACCAGTTTTTTCTTTAAATGTGTAAAGGTTATGTAAATCAAAGACAATACTAGACACATATGCTTCTATTTATGAAGTCACACAAATAAAGCACAGTAAGCATTCACTCAACCTAAGCTCTTAATTAACTTTCCAGCCTTTTAATTTGCCATATCTCGTCTTACACAGATGTAAGCTGTATGAGTAAAAGGTCGTCGCTAAATTACAGCTGGATCACAGCGCAATTTCCGCTTACAATACACATGCGATCTTCACACTTACTGCATAACTACCATGTAATTTGCAAATTAAAACGTTTCTTACTCATATTAAAGTTGTTACTGTCACTATAGCTTAGTGATACTCACGATTTAATAATCGTTTATTTTGAATAATGTAGATATTGCACTCTATCTAAATGTAAAAAAGTAAAGGTATTATGAGAAACTATTTAAATTTTGTTATTTCAATTAACTTTTTTCCAGACCTGTTCTCACTATTTTATCGTCGGAGGTATCGAATGATGTCTATTACTAGACATTCGATTTTTTATGTTTATTTAAGTTTTAATTGTATACCATTATAATTTATTTATCATTACAACATTCTAAGTTAAATCACCTTAAAATAAAATTAAAAAAATAAATCAGTGGCACTACAACATTTTTAGGTGTGGGCATCAGATTTTTGAATCTGTTTCATGATCACTTGTCAATCTAATAGGCAAGTAGGTGATCAGCCTCCTATGCCTGACACACACCGTCGACTTTTTGGGTCTAAGGCAAGCCGGTTTCCCTTTGTTTGTGTGTTTTCCTTCATCATTCGAGCGACTGTTATGTCGATTGCAAAATTAAAAATTTCAAAAGCATCAAAATGTAGTATAAATGTATTATTTATTTTACACAACTTTAATACCCTAGTCAGAAAATACTAATTATTGTTGATATTAACTTGATTATGATTTTAAAAACCTACACGTCATAATTGCGTAGTTTAAAATGTCACAAATTGAAATTAGCATCATAGAAACAATTGAAATAATAAAATGTCAAAACGAGTTTTCACTATATATGTTGTGGTTAAATCGGTAAATCAAAGTTCAATTTCCATTCAATCAACAAACCTCTCACCCAATTATTCTTTCCTCTCCCAAATTAAATTTTCCTGGCTCGTTTTCGTTCTTGCATACTAAATTGTGAAATTTTCCAAATTTTTTGGAATTGAGAATTCAAACAACGTTAATATGCATAATTAAAAATCGTATGCGTATTAAAAGTTTGAGGAATTTACTTAAGGATTCAATTACTGTATATTCAAAAAAAATATCTTAGAAATAAGGTATAGTTAAGAAAATTTTGTTAATTATTTGTGAAATTCAATTTCAAACGGTGAGACTCCCCTTGTCACCTTGAACTTTGAACACGCCTAAAGAATATTCTTAGGCTGCAAATACAAAGCTTAATTTTATATAACTAGTTAAATTACGAACTATTTTGAGATAAAAAGCTTATCACGTTTGCTCTTGACATTTTAAAACAAAGAGCTTGATTCGAAAGAGATTATAAAAGGGGTCATCTCAAAATTTCAAAAGCTCTGAGATTGTTATATCAAATATTAAAAACTTTCGTTTTAGACTTATTACAGATTCCCATTGAAAGATACGTAATGTTACATTAATACAGAACTTTATTTGCGAAGCTCTCTCTCTAAATGTTTGCTAAAATAATAAAAAAATTGTTTTTAAAAAATTACTCCTGAGCAGATTGCTGAGTAATACTGCATTTAGCGAAAACTTCGATTTTCTTGCAAACATCTATTATTATTATTGGTCTTTATTGCTTTAAGTTGCGAAATAACAACAACAACATCTGAATAATGAAGAAGAGCCTTAATTTAATCATACAAATGTTGATAATGAAAACAGTGGATTTATCCGTTGACAGTGTGCGATACGTTCACGACAAGGCATAGCCTCTGATGGTTGATACTTATGATCTTTTTCTACATTATACGAACACGTACCGCAAGATACTCTGTATTGTTTTTCTTTGTTCTCGTGAGTCGGTTATTATAAATCTTATTTATTGGTATCAACATTAAAAATAGTGCCTAGTTATTTAGCCTGATTTTATGGGGTATATGGAAATAACCAGACTGGTAACTTTGAATAAAGTATTGAATCGGCCAAAATCACCTGCAATGCCGGATTGAAGTTTGCCGGCATACGCAGTCCGTGAGTTAAATATCAATAGTTGATTAATAATATAGATAATAATATATCATAGAATCAGATAATAATCTTACTGCATTCTTTGTGTATTTCTCAAGACTTCTAAGTGCCTGTTCAAAGTAATCTTCCCCATATGCTCCTTTTTGCTCGTCACTCAGACGTTTCCACATGTCACGAGCTTGTTCCAGCAACTTCTCTTCAGAGAGCCAGGCACTGCCCGTCGTGTATTCACCAGCTGCTACCACCACCTGGAAAACGTATATCACTCCATAAACGATATTGTACATGATAGATACGGCCTAGTAACTAAATATACTTTTCAATAAAATTTTGTGTTACTAGTGCAATTTAAACTATTAAGATGATTAAAGCCATCATCATCATCATGTAACCACAGCAACAGTGGTTTTGCAATCAATTACCCGTTTCATAAAGGTTTTTAGGCGGGGATTATAACATTATCGTTTCTAAAAATATCTCAATTTATGCAAAAGAAATCGTGAGCAATCTCCATTACGCCCGACTTAACTGAATTACAAATTACCTACCTCTCGCGCGTTGGGCATATATTATTAAATAATAATTTGTTTGATATTGATATTAGACTTTATGCAGTTTTATTGGTATTTTGTAATATAAGTAACCAATAATGTTACAAAAAGTAAAAGTTTTTATAACCTAATTTCATCCTAACATTGAATAGGTAATCCCACAGCATACAGATGGTTTTATTTCATGATATTTTTGACATAAAATACGACGAAACCATGTTGCGATGGCCATTGTTTAAAATGTTTTTGTGTAAACGAATATAATACTGACTCGAACGCATTTGCAAAGGTTAACAGAATTGAAAGAATGTGTCGCCATTTTTGTGCAACAGCAAGATCTTAGAAAGCTTCCATTTGCTAAAAGAATCTAAAAGGCTTGAAGCAATGCTTCTTAATCAGTCGCTGATAACTCGGACGTTAGCTAAGTTGCAACATTCTTTATATAATTTTATTTATGAATCTAACAGTAGATGATATTTAATAGACTCTACGGTTGTGAGCATATGTATATATGCTCACAACCGTAGAGTCTTCTGTCTGTAGAGAATACTGTCTGCATCAATTTACTACATTGTATGAACTGTACGTCGATTGCATACTAAAATTCGAAAACGTGAAAAAATCCAAGCTATTAGTGTTTGCACCTACAAAGCCGATATAGTAATTGTGTCGTTCGACAATTTAAATGAAAACGTTTGACCTCTATTGAAACGAAACGCTGTTGTCTATTATACGATTTCGCCCAACCGTGGATATTAAGCCGAGTTCAAAAAGGCATTTTGTGCTTTGTTGCTAACTGGCTTTAGTCTTGATAATGTTTGTATGTTATGACAAGCACGAACTCAATATTATAGTTTTAGAAATTGGCAAATAAACAGAGTTTTAATTGTTAGAATTAAATAGTTTTAATCCCTATTTCCCTTGGTCAGGGCATCACGCGTGGACAGCTGGACCGATTTCGCTAATTATTTTTTTGTTGTGTTTGTTATTGTCAGGAGAAGGTTCTTATGAAAGGAAAAAAAGTAAGAAAATTGCGCGGAAAATTCGAAAATTTAAGAATACTTAACCACCATATTAAGTAATCCTGACTTTTGTTACGATATCAAATTTTCTTTCAGTGCATAGCGCTTTTACAATTCAAACTGTTTGATGTAACCTTATGACGTTTGACATAAAATTTACAGAATGCGTGCTGCAAATATCGTCAAAGAGGATGTAAGAAAAATGAATAACGTTTAAAACAAATGCTTCGATCGGAGTTATTATATTGATAAAATACATATAAAATAATTATAAAACAAACAAAAAAATGTTGTATATCATAAAACATTAGAATAATAAACACTTGGTTTCAGAAATATTTTAATTATACCAATTTGAAATCAATATTCATAGTTAAGACAGAACAACGTCGGTCGGGTCCGCTAGTATTTAATAAATTGTATCTCATTAAAGTTAATAAAACGTAGACAATTATTCCATTACTTTATTCTAACTGAACGTTTAATTTAGCGTACTAATGAAATAACTAGATACTTTAAAAGATTTTACGTTTATTTTTACTTTAAGAGGAACGTGCTGGTCGGCTGGGACATTAAACTTTTAATATGCCTCTCATTAGAACTAGACTTTTAACCTAGTTTACGGGCTATGAAGCTGGATGAAACATGATAATGTTACTTGTAAGCTTTAGTTTAAGCTATTATGGAAGTTACAATATTGTGTCTCGGTTCGAGGTAATAGATAACGAAATATTCTATTTTAGGGTAAACTCAGCTTGGTTGGATTATAGTGGGGTTATAGTAGTTAATTCTTTGAAAAACTTTTGCGATTCCAAGGAGTGCTTAATATTAATGCTTATTCTACGTATAAATACTGCGCCGACTATGCATAAATTATTACTTTAATTGCAAAGTTTGTGAGTATTAATGGATGTTTGTTACTCTTTCACGTAAAAACTACTGAATGGATTGTAATGAAACTTTACGATAATATAGCTTATACATCAGAGTAACACATAGGCTACAATTTATAAAGATATTGTGTGAATTTTTCAAAATATCAAGTTAGTAGGAAAACATCAACAACTACCATCTGCGAGCTATTCTGGCGTGCGCTGCCAAATGTAATGTATGATGGAAATGTTTATCTTAAGTAGTCAATATCTTTAGTAGTTTTCTACGCCATGCTAATATAAGCTACTCGAAATACTAATCCTGCGGAGACGAAGTCGTGGCCACCAGCTAGTTAGTAATAATATTGAATAACTCTAAAATTTTCTCCGTTGAAGAAAGTAAATTAAATTTAAACATAAATTGATTAATTTGCACAGACCATCAAATTATAATTGAATATGAATTTGGATTTAAATCGACTGTCCTGCTTTATAAAATGTTGAATGTACTCAACATTTATTAATAATAATGAGTCTACAACGAATAAGTGGATGCTAATTTTGTTAGCATTGAATTCAAAACATCAATAAAAGTTGAAGTGAAAGCCAACAAGCTTTTCTCGTAATGAAAACGAACGAGTTATTCAGAGTTTATTTGTAAAGTTTTCTAATCGAATTCTTGGTTAATTGAGTTCGGGCTTGCGGTATCAATACACTTTAAACAAGATAATAATTAACTTAAATTGCAGTTTAACTTATAATAATCAACACGCGTTTAATTACTTTTAATCAATGATTGTCTTATTAAAAATGCATTAAACACATACAATACACAAACATCAATATCAGTACCACATAGTCTGTATGACGAAAAAAATATATAAATTTGAATTTTAAGACCTTTAAAATTACCTACCATTATATACACGATAGAATAGGTAAACAGTAAATGATTTATAGGTAAAGTTGGCGCTAGTTTTAGTTTGTATGTTTATATGTTTGTAATAAACACTGTTAACGGTTCAATGGATATGAATGCATTGTGTATTCATGCATAAAAGTTCTAGAGGCAACCGCTCGAATAAGTAGTGTTATGTGTTAAGTTTTATTATAGTGGTTGGATGCATTTGTATAAAATATATATGTTAGGCTTTAATCAACGAAACAATAATTGTTTTGGGTTGGTAGGCACAGAAGGCTAATAGCCTTAAAATTGATCAGATGTAGTATATGTTATAATAATTGACAATTTATAATAATTTTCTACGACCAAAATTCTTATGTCCATTTTGTTATATTATTGATGTGTAAATGTTGTTTTTAGAACGTATAAGGAATACATTTTTATTCGTTTCTCGTGCCTTAAATATAATCACCAAACTAATATTACACGACAAATAATATATTAAAACTTTAATGCTTTTATTTTCTTTTTATTTAATTCTCGAGTTTCAAGTAATTTGTTCACTGAATAATGATAAAATAATGGAGAAATCGATTGTATTAATTTGAATTTAAAATTTTAAACGTTGATCCCTGTAAGAGGAATTTAAATTGTGGCTGGAGGCTTTTCATTATAATATTGTTGCAGTTTTACAGTAATTAAATGTGGTATTCATTTCATTGATAATGAGCTTTTCAAAATGATTAAATAATGAAATAATACTATGTACAGGTGTACTAAACGATGAATTATTATTTTTGAATTACTAAAAAATATCTACCTTTTTCTAAATACTATCGTTAACCAGTTAACTCCGAAACGTTACAAATCGGTATGTGGCCGGTCATTCAGTATATTGTATTGTCTTTTATTGACATAACTTTTACACACTGTATATTTTTAGTTTGATAATACAGATCGTAAAGTGCATTTAAACCGTGCTCCAATAATTATACATTAACATAAACTTGCATTTTATTATATCGTCATTATCATCGTCTATTTTATTGTTCATTTATGTTGGAAATTTTTTGTATCGTCGGAAATCTTCGGGCATGTGCGTTACTAAATAGGCTATCTATTGTGTTATAGAATACTAACAATCAAACCGCAAACCACCTACACCTATTATCACTACTATTGGTACCTACTATCAGACAACCCCACATACCCAATGTTAATTAATCTAGCTGTGTGTGTTTTGATTTCAAATGTATTATATTTTATTATTTGATTATTTTCTGAGTATTCGTTTCTTACTTTTATTTCTTATTTGTTTATTTAAAACTAGTCTGACCATAACTTATGTTAAAAATGAAAATGCATTTTTTTAAATTGAAGTAATGTATATTATTAAAATTTATACCTACATTTTTATTAAAGTCTCAGCAAAAAATAAAACAATATTTTACTTGAAACGACCACCTTTGGCTTTTTTTACAGGCCTTTAATCTGTTTCGCTACGAACCTATGGATTTACGCACTGTTTCCAAGGGAAATTTCGCCAAACCGACAATAATTTGAAGCCAAGGCTTGAGGTCTGGGCTAGATGAGGGCCATTCTCCAGCTTTTATAAAGTCCGAAACATTGGTTTAGAACTAGGTATATCGTATTTTTTGTATAATTGAAATTTTTTCCTCTGAACTGTCTTGCAATGTATCTTTACCGGGTTTTCTATTCATATAATACATGAAGTATTCATGGCATGAAATACGCAGACATATTTATATCGGATTCGTTGTTATCACCGAGAGCTTCTTACTTCCCTTTCACAAAATCATTTTTATAAAGTACTTACGACATCAACACCGCGTGGTTTCAATTCCCGTCTCAAGCAGGCAGCGAGTGCGTCAAGAGCAGCCATTGAGGCTGCGTGCACACCTCTCACGGGCGCAGCTACATGGGTCAAAATGGAGGATGCTAGAACCACTCTCCCGCGAGCTCTGCGTACTAGCGGTAGCATTACTTGCACGAGGCGGGCTGGACCTGAAAAATATAAAAATCAAAGATAAACTAGTAGTAACTTAGGCCCGATACGTATTCTTATACATATCTTCAGTTATAATTTTGAATTGTTAGATACGAGACTACTGAAAGAAAAAGGCACTCGGGAAAGGCCAGTACTGAAATTTTTTTATAAACTTATGCATAGAATTATTTATTTATTTTTGCAGTGATTTGTTATTTTTGATATTGGGATTGATATGGTAGATTAAAAAATCTAAACTTGCACAAAATTCCTTATTTGGTCGCCGCGCTTTAAAAGCGCGATCAATCTTGGCAATAGGAAAAACCAGTACTGAAACTAGGTTTAGATTCGTTAGTTGTAAATGGTTATTCAAGGAATCCAACGATTAAGGAATCCACCTAGAATAACTACGTGAACCTATAAAAAGGTATGGGGTTAGAGAGCACAAAGAAAAGGCATTTATATTCCTCATCTTCCTGGCTTTGAAGTTTTAGCTTTGAATGTATATTTTATTTAACTGTTAAAAATACTATAGTAGAAGAAGATATGTAGTCTTCATGTGTGTTAAACTGTATTATATTTATTTGAAACTGATTTTTTAAAATTTATTCAAAATCTTTTTACAGCTTAGACAGAACATTTCTTCTTCTCAACTTGCGTAAAGAATAACTGACTAAATAAAACTACATTATAAATCCCTTACACCACATAATTAATTTAGTACGGAACACTAGCCAAGAATACTAATTATACTAGCGTAAAACTAAAACATCACGGGCGAAGACGTTCATTAATGTTGTTTTGTTCATAATTGATTAGCCACATAGGGGAAATATACTTGTTTATGCATGCTACAATATTGGGTTAAGTACTCGTACGGCCACATAATGTTCGTATCAACATTCTCTAAAGTACTATGTACATCTGTGGAACGAGGTCTAGATGCTTAGATACTGGATTTGCGGATCGCCGCAAATCCAGTATGTCGGGTGTATCCAGTCATGACGGCCTCACAAAAAGCCTTGAAGGCATTCCAAGGGCCGTCATTGTCAGCTTCCACCATTCTTTACATCATCATTCTTCACAGATTTTATTGATTCCCGTCCGACTGTTTTTTTTAGTAAAGGGATCAATGAACTACCTATGAGATGGCAAAAGTGCATAGAAAACAATGGTTCATACTTTGATTAATTAAATATATTATATTTAAAAATATTCGACTTTTTGTTCCTCCCATACAAAACGCCAATTTCATATGTAAGGACCTAATATTTCTAAAATTATAAGCTAAAATGTATATATTCCAGTTTTACTATTTAATTGGGAATAAAACGTATCAGTTAAAAAAATTGAGATGCTCAGTGCATCAGTGTTCAAGGCAAAAAATAATGTTGCTTATTAGACACCTTCGCTCACTTCAGTGATTTAATTAGTCTTTGAACATATTAGATTTTAAAATAGGTTGAGGAGGAAGATCTGGTTAGATCCTTATAGTAAAAAGCATTATGTAACGCGTTAATTCAGGTTTCCGCACAACTTTTTAATAAGCTCGAGTCTAAAGCTCAAAACTTCGGAAGTTGAAAATTAAAAATTTTACCAACATTGCTCGTGTTAGCAATAATGTTTTTAATTAGGTCTGTAAGCTAAATAAGTTGTATGAAATACAGCACCGAGGTATCTTCACACAACATTACGAGACGAGAAACTTCGTTAATACTGTAATTAAAACGGCCTGAGTAATAATAATTTGATTCACGTGTAATTAATTAAATTTTCACAATTATAAACAGTGTAGTATTTTATTATTTAATCCTTGTATTTGATTGTTAATATAGAAATAAAACTCAAGTTTATATGAAGATACAATTGGTATACAATTGTATCTTCACTATCTAGCGGCGGTCGCGCTCAAATCACTCGTGAAGCAGTCATTTTACGATTTGGCATTCTGATAAGGAGGGAGCTTGTAGTTTATTGTTTATCAGAATGCCAAAACCGCTGTGAGAGTTCGAAAAGTGAGTTACAGAATCGCAAGGCTGTACTATCATATCATTTAATATTCTGTTTGTGCAGTTTACTAAATAATTATTTTCTAACCTCTCCTAATACAATGACATTGAAAAAATAATTTAAACGTGTTCTGTTATAATTTTAATGTTTTCTCATTGTGTTATGATTTTAATTAAATTTAGCAAATAGGATTGAACAAAAACGATGTTTAATTGATAGCCTACGGGAACAAAATTGAGCACGAAATTATTTATGATTCTACATAGTAACAGAAAATAAAATCATTCTTGTTTTTAAAAAACTCTGCATAAAGTAGAAAATTGAAATAGAGTGAAGACGACTCAAGTACTTAATTAGGAAAATGAAATCCTAAGGAAATAGGACCGGTAAAAGTCATTGCTTTTTTACCGACATTATTTGTTATAATTATGGTTTATTAGTAACATAGATGTTAATTAATGTCAAATATAATTTAGCTTTAGTTTTATATTATATCTGGAATATGAACGTAAATAAATTTTGTAAAAGCGTTCCATTTTTATTTTATTTATATATTCACGCCTTTTTCCCGAAGTGGTAGGGCGAGACCACGGATCTCCACTTGCTTAGGTGCTGACATACTTCTCTCGTTCATCCATAATATTTATCAAGTATTATCATCAGTTATGGGCACTTTTCACCCCAGATTCTCCTTTCTATATCATCATCATACTTTCCATCCAGAGTAAACATAGGGCCTAAGTACACAAACTTACATCCTGACGAAATCCTGCTTGTACAATGTACAGCCCACACTTTTTCATCAGTCTTTTTTACCACTCTTGCAATTCATACTTTCGTATACATTTACCGACGACACTAAACAAGCTTATTTCGCGGTAATTTTTATAAGCTCCTTCTGACCCTTTTCCATTATATGCTAGGCCAATGACAGCTTTCAGAATTTTGACATGCTTTCACCAGCCACAATTGCGCCTTAGACGTGAATTCCTCAGGTTAACCATGCTTTCTTCTTCACGCTTGCTGCCTTTCTTGCTTGCTCATCCATTGATACATTCCTTCCACCACATATCTTTTTCTCTTAGCGACTCCGTGCCACAATACACCCTTAGGTCAAGGAACTCAATCTTAATAACACAAGTGCCACAATACTTTTTGTATCTCGTATTTCTCACGCAAAGATTCCAGCGATTGTCTTCCATTATCATTCACTCACGGATCACCGTAACTATCTAAAACCGTTTCATACCCATCTATATTTAAACCGACCCATCCATTCAAGTCCCCTAACATAATGATCCTTTTATTCTCCTTAGCGGCACATAGTATCTTTAACACTGATTCCTAACCCCTGGCTGCCCTGCTACGATTTTTATGTTAGGTAAGAAATCTTTGTCTTCCATCTTTTTTTCATATTCTTCCATGTCATTCTACTAATATTTTCAATCCAAAGATAAAATCCATAGCAATTCTGTTACCTTTTTAATTGTTTTTAATGTTGTACTAAAATTAAAAATTCAAGCGTGAACGTGGTAAAGTAAGAACTGAGTACGTCATAAAAATCGTAGAGTATCTAATAAAGTAATATTTTGTATCAGAATAAAAATTTTAGCTACAATTACGCAAAAAAGCTTTAAACAACCACCAAAAAAACGAGTGGCTACGCGTTTGATACGTACAGGATTGCTATCCTGCTGTATGCTTCTAAAATTATTTCAATACCATATGATTAACATATGAATTATGTTTGTGACCTTCACATAAATGAACTTTTAATTTTATTCCAATGTCGAAATAATATTCACTTCGTGGAATATTGCAGTTTTGGCAAAGAGCCAAACGTATTCATTGGAAAACTTATCCTAATTTGAATATTGCAATAAGAATTGAAAATACCTGTTCTACAATTTAATTTTAAGGTTTTTTTAGTTTTAAATACCTATTTAATTTAAAAAAAACTATAATACAAACAAAGTTGTTTTTTTTCGTACAGAAATGATACAAAGCTTTGGCTTTATGAATCCAAATTTTAAAAGTTTCTAACGATGATTGTATTTGTATGTATATGTTAATGAGTACAGGAAACAGAAATATACTCCTGACCTGGTTGAAGTAAACGTTGCCTTTGTTTAATGAAGAGACGATTCGCGAAACAAAATCCTAGATTTTTTCATAAAAATACAAACAGTCAGAGCTGCAGTGGATAATTATGAAACCCTTGACAAAAAACTACCAAGAGCGAAAATGTTGGAACTTTACTTCGAAAATGTTTAAACTTTTCATATCATGTTCATTTGGGGTGCTTTAAGATTAGTTCAGTTTAAAAAACAGAATAATTGAATCTTTCCAGAGAAAGACACCAGAATTTTGATTGATGTGTTTGTATTGAATTTAAATGACTGTTAGTTATTACAATCAAATAAAGTGTATATGCACGTGTGATAATTTAATTTTTATGACTTACTATAATTAATATACATTTTCCTGCACATGTACGATTATAATTTGTAAGTTGAAATTTTGTTGTTAATTTTTAATGAATTAATATTCAATACTGCTGCAAATTTCAAGATATCTATTATATATCTGGATAACCAATGCATTATTGCTTCACGACAGGATTGCCAGAGTAATTAGCGTAAATTCCATCGCATCACACTTATTAGCTCAATATACTGAGTATACTAACTTAGGCTGCTGTACATAACAGCAATTTAAGAAAACATTTCATAGTTTGCATACCTGTTAAATTACAAATATAATAACGTTCATAAATCAAAACAAGTCATCAATGTGAACAAAAATATAAATTGATTTTGAGATAATGCTGCGTTCTTACATAAAAATTAAGTGTTTTGTATAATTAGCAGCCGTTAATGAACTTGCCTATTCATTTAGTATTGACGATATTATTGTTATTGTACTGTTTGTCTAAACGAATTCACAAATGCAATTCTGTGGTTCTAACATTCATAAAATTTTCATTGTTAAGGGATTGAAATAGTCAAAATTACGAAAAAAACCCTGTCAGTCAGTCTAGTGAGCAATCGTTACCTACATTAAATAGTATTAGAACATATGTGGAAAGAGAACTTTTAGTTCAGATCGACAATAATGATATAATAATAATAATATTGACATACGAATTAAGTGAGGGCCAGCGGTGGATTCCAAAAAAAACCAAAATATATTAATATTACTTTAATTAATTACTTTTACAAATAATAAACTTAACTAAATACAATTATTTAATCGGCCCGATATTAGGTGCACGATAAATATATTATATAATAAACTTAACTACTTGAGACTTGACCGGTCCGATATGAGGTATCCGATCAAAAAGCTGCTGGTTCTCTTGTCCCTTTCCTTATATATAGCGTAGTTTCGTAAGAGGTGACTTGTATTGGGTATGCGGGGCAAAGGGAGTGCAATAATATTGACATACGTCATCTTGAAGTTTAATATTTTTTTAAATTATTATATAATGTTTGTGAATAAAAGAAATGATGCGTTGCGAATAAAAATAATATTAATAGGCATAATCACTGATTATTTTCCGTAGAGACTTTAGTGTTTCGTTTCTGTATTCAGATAAAGACATCCAGTTACATATATATTTAAAATTAAAATAATCTGATTTGTGAACAAACAGCCTTAATGTCTAGGAAGCTAAATCGGGCGTGTTGTACGTGTGAGGATGACAGATTAGCTCAACCCCATTTGTTGAGTGTAGCATATTCCCACAATTTCAATACAATGGAAGCACACACAGTTGCTATAGATGATGGTGCTATACATGATGGTTGTAATGAAATAGCCTCCATACTTAAAATATGTGAAAATGTTTGTTAAATGTCTCAGGTACTGTTAATTTTCCATTTTTATTTGATGTATTTATTTTGAATATTTGTGTATAGTCAAATAATTTTCGTTATCACAGAGTGAATGATTTATTCGTAAAAAAATGAAAATTTTAAATTGTATCAATAATATTTTTTTTTTCAAACATCAGTTTTGTTTATAGAAAAGGGGGCAAACGGGCAGGAGGTTGATGTTAGGTGATACTGCAACCCATGTAACCCTTACAGCCATACCCACGAGACGGTTTTTCGCCTAAGCCCGGTGAAAAATCGGGTCTACGTCCGGTCGTCAGTCTTGTATGGGACACTATGACCCAACCACATAACGCCGGTGCTAGCCCCGGCGCGGTGAGCCGGTACTAGGTCTCGTGGGCTTGAGCCCTTACGCAGCCAGAAGGCTCGCAAGTAGATTGCAGGCCTTTAAAACCATATGTCGAATTGGTTTAATGTATTAATGCATATTTAGATGATACTTTAGTTCCAACGACTGCACAATCCTTAACTTGTTGAGCAGGTCAAGTCACAAATTGAGTCACAGAGCCAGTGAAGTAAGTAACGAAGTCAGATAAAAAGAATCTCTCATCCAAACATACCTTTTTGAAAAGGTTGTGAACGTTAATGTCCATAAAAGTGTTTATTTCAAAATATTTTAATATAAATGCAAACTTATTACATCGGAACGTGTTCATAATACTGATAAGTGTCAACATTTCAAAGGGTTAAAAAGCTTTTCACAAACTTTTGAAGGTTTTTTCGTGCGTGAAATATCCCAAAGGCACTTAAATTCGCTGAAAAATATTTAAGCTTTGGTAACAATGTGTAACGTTTTATGACAACAAATTTATAAGAATAATGAATTTTAAGTAAATATTGAAAAGGGTTAGGGAAAAACGATGACGATTCCAAAGTTATTTTATATTATTTCAAAGAAAATTTATGGACTTTGTGTAAATATTCTATGTTTTTTATTAATAGAAACTACATGTATATATGCATATAATTTAGATATTTTTATCACGTTCAATTAGTAACATTTTGCATCAGTTTATTATCTAAACGCAGTTTTGCTCCGCTAGCGCTATCTGTATTTCATGAAGATAGCTTGAAGAAATCAGGAAAATCCGAAACTCTGACGCGAACCAAAAAGGTTTATATGATAACTTATTTTTACAAAATCATGCTTAGCCCGATTTCGTACATCCACATTAATTTTATTAATTGTGACGGGAAGCTTGCCTAGGGCTAGCAATTCAACTTTTGTATACTGCTTAGTACTCGTATAGAGATAACTCAAGTAGTTTTAATTTTGAGCTTTAAAAGGGGAAAATGGGCTAGATAGTCTATTTTTAAAGTATAGAAAGCGATGTATTGTGTATAGTGCCATCTATATTGTTGAAAAAGAAACAGAAATTTTCATACGAACCTAAAAGGTTGACTTCCATAGCGCGGCGGATGACTGAAAATGGCACCCACTCTAGTTCACCCAACGCGCACCAAGATTCACAATTCACAATAGCCCATAAGCCTTGCGCGCCCTCTGGTAAATGGTCAACGATGTATAACGATGCTGACAGAATCTGAAAAATATTTGAACTAATTTTGATTCCTACGTAACAGATGGCGTTATCACATCTTTTGTTTTGTCTATATACCTGCAATTTTTAATTCTTCGGAACAATTGAGGCATTGTACTTAAACATTATCATTATGGTCGTACGAGCCCCGACTCGATTAAAAATTTTCAATACTTGAAAAATGAGACAAAAACTTAAGAATTTGGCAGTTTTTTTAGATTTACAAAATATTCATATCAACAATCAGATATAAGCCATTTTTGTCTTAACCCTCGCAAGACTATTAAAAATATTATAAAACATTTTACATAATCTACAACTATCTTACCAGACTAAACATATAAGTACTCTGACAACCTAAAACAGTCTTTTCTTTGATAAAGAAAACGAAGGTATATATACGTTATAGTGGGGTCGAGTTTCCATATTATGTTACATATTTAATAATATAGTAATATCTTATTTTTTTTATTTATTATGCAAGTATAGTGTATAATTTTATTTATAGTAAGCTGTATTATTCATTACTTCCTAACTGTAGTAGTCATTTTAAAAGTTGTAAAAAAAACAAGTTCACCGTAATGCCAATGACAAAAGAGGATATAAATATAATTTAAATAATTTTTTTTAAATCTATAGAGATACAAACTTGTGTTTCAGAAGTTTCGTCCAGCTGAAGTGTATGTAATCTGCCTGAGCAGTCTTCTTTCAGCATATCTGCATCGATGTTTCCAGCCTTATTCTGGAAACCAGCAAAAACATGGTATCCCAAGTCATCCAACCTTCTTGCTAGAGCATTGCCTAGGACATTGTCACATCCAGTAACCAGCACTGCTTTTCCGGCTGCTGTGACCTGAAATTGAAGAAAAATTAAAAAAAATAGCGGTGCTACAACCTTTTAGGTCTGGGCCTCATTCTGGGATTTCTGTACCTGTTTCATATTCATTTGTTAATCTAATAGGCAAGTAGGTGATCAGCGTCCTGTGCCTGACCCACGCCGTCGACTTTTTGGGTCTAAGGCAAGCCGGTTTCCTCACGATGTTTTCCTTTACCGTTCGAGCGAATGTTAAATAAAAAAATAAGAAATAAAGTCCATTGGTGCACAGCCGGGGATCGAACCTACGACCTCAGGAATGAGAGTCGCACGCTGAAGCCACTAGGCCAACAATGCTCCAATATAAATAGTCATTGGCATGTAATAAATTAGACGTGGCTTTTATAGGTAAACTTTTGATTCCAATTGCCATTTCCGTTGGGACCTCCAATTACATTAAAAGTTTTTTTAAAGTACCAAATTTGCCTCAAAGATTTACAGTGAATTTGACGCAAACAGTCAGAATCTGTCAGATTACTTTGACAAGACTGACACCCCAAAGGCAATATTGTAAATGTTTATTTTTCAAGCTGAACCTCTGCGTCAGTCAGTACGTCATAATGTGTTGCGTAGTTGAATGAATTGCTGTTTTTCAATTGAAAATTGAACGAGGAAATTGGATGACAGGCGAAATATTATATGAAACATAGGCGTATGAAAGTAATGGATTGTAGTGATACAGTATGCGCATTTTAAACTTGCTTGTTTTGTACTAGATACTCAAATAAAATCTTTTTCCTTACGTTTACACTATCCTTGAACTTAAAAAAACACTAACACTCAGCTGGCTGTACGGCCCAAGCTGTGTATTTTTCGAATAAAGTTCTGATAAAAAGATACCCACATACGCTGAATAAAATTAATTGCAAAAAAAAAAACAATATCGACAATATAGTTTACAATTTTATTTGTCACTTAAAACTACAATTAGAATGTGCGAATGTGACATTTTATGTTCATCTAATTTATAATCAAGACTTTTAAATGTATAGTCGTGTTTTCGTCAGTTTTCAGATTTTAAAAATTTACCAGAACCACAATGTTATGAGGTATACCTAATTATATTAAAATGTAAAATGCATTCTATTTTCATGCTCATAAATATGCAGACATGACGAAAATATAAAGTTTTCGTCGCAATACTTACGTAAACAAGGAGCGGTACCTTTTTCTTAATTTTTTTAAAATAAATATAGCCCGATAAATTTGCTCAAAAATATTAAATTCTACAAAAAACTATTTATAATGTGAATATGTATGTGGTTATTGTTTTCAATACGTTATTTTTATTTTTTAATACACCTACAATTCGGAAGGAATTACAACAAATGAGGAAATACAACTTTTCACCTTGGTGTCTTCTGGCCGACCAGTCAGTGTTTCGACTAGTCTAGGATCATCGGACCCTCGTCTGGAGGAAGAGCACCTTGTGTACGCGTGGTATTGTAATTACGTAAATATGTTTTTGTGTCAGTTGGTGGGATATGATTAAAAAGTTGTTATTAAATGTTTGAGAAACGTTTTACACCCACTCAAATTACTTCAATATTATAAAAGTTTGAATAAAGTAATAAATAGTGACTACTACACAGAGATTATTATACTAGATCCATTGTTAAATTAACAAAGTACTAAGCACGAATGACAACGTATTTGTATGAATAAAAGCACCCTCGAGGCTTTTGCGAAAAACAAAGATTTATTGTATACATATTTTGCGAATTTCTTCGCATTTTTTATCAAACTCATGGCATCGCTAGAAAACCGACAATATTTTACGACGTACGAAATAGGCCAGTAGACGCCTATTGATGGTAGATGAGATTCCGCCCACAGACGATGACATGAATCTATTTTAGCAAAAGATCAATGCGCTATAAATTTTATTTCGAACAATTCTTTGCTCAACAAACTTACTTGTTTTATTAATTATTTTAATGTGAAACAAACTTTGCCTTGTCTTACTGTAAAGATTGCATTGGAATCAACAGCTTTTTACTTTTATTATATTTTCCGTTGATAAAGCCGTTTATTTAGTTTGTGATGTCTGAAAAAAACTGCATTTAGCCTTCACAACCTTTGTTGTTTTTTTATTTTATTTCTTTCCTGTATTGTATTCTTTGGTATGCAAATAAAGTATTTATTATTATTATACTTATAAATAAAGTATTTATTATTATTATACTTATAAATAAATTAATTTCCTATTTAACTAGTCCTTATTTTAGTCTACTAGGTTAATTCTGATATGTATGATATGATAAGCTAATATTTCGAATTTTAGACGGTAATTTATTAAATAATTGCACACCTTCATACATAATTTGTATGACAATACTTGGCGATTAAAAAGAGTGGCGGAAAGTTTCTTGCCAGTTCTTCTTACCCGCTCTACGCCCTTGACTTGCGAACTGGTAGTAAATGTAAATTTACAATTAATTTAACTTATTTCTGACAATTCAAAAGTGTACTTGTTTACCTACATGAATAAAGATATTTTGAGTTTAATAGACCTCTTCAAATAATTTGCATGCTCTTTCGATAATATAACCAAACTCTCGTATGCCTCCATACATCAGTGTAGAAAAGAATTAAAAATATATTTGTATTGAAAAATATATTGTAACGAATTCAATTGTTTATATAACATATTATATTCGATGAAAATAACATAATTGATGTTCATTGGATGAGGTTGACGATTGTTATAATAGGAACGGCGACGAAATGAAGTTTTCGTTAAGAATAGACGTCGACTGCTTGATGGATGGAGGTTATTATAACAGTTGAGTTAATATTTCATTCAGTTAGGCTCGTGAACCAATCACTTTCTTTTCAGGATGTAATGTAGTTTGAATACCATTACAGAGAACATGTTTTTTTATGGGACAGATGGTATGCTCGATTGCTCTCTCGTTGGTCAAAAAGGTCACTTAAGATTAAGTGCTAAGTGCCAGCTGGGGAGGTACACTCTTTTCTTTGTTTTTTTAACAATCTTGATTTGAAAAAAAACTATTGCAAGAACGTATTTGAATCCGTAAAAAGCGCCCATTTTAAGGCACGCTGAATGCGTGACTTCTAATATTTAAATATGTTAATTTTTATAACGATTTCTCGACCAAGTCACGCAGTACTATTTGCATGCCATACGATGACAATTGCGTGAAAAACATTTATAAATGGCTCTGCGGTTGGATTTTGTTAATAAGTATTTCTTAGTAATCTTAATTAGTCTAAAATCTTGATATGGCAAGATTGTATTACTGACTTGGAGCTATTATTAATTATTAAAAACAAATTATAGCATTAAATAGCAATTATAGTACTAGAATAGTATATAATAATTAATCGTTTTATCTATTGTACTTAAGATTTAAATAACATAGATAAATGTCTATCTATCTCTGTATCTATATATTTCTGTCTTAAATTGTTGTTTAAATGTAATGCGTCGTGGCCTCTCCACTAAGGTTGGAGCCCCGGTGTTTTGTTGGTGCCTATGACAAAACATTGTATATATTTTAATGAATAAAATTAAAACAAATTCAAGAATATCTTTAAATAGATACTCGCCCAGAACAGTCCATGCATCGGCCGTTAGCCTATTTTTATATTAGACTTTCGTATGGAATGACGTAAGCGATGCAATGAGGTTGGCACAACTCGCTATTTCTATAATTCGATCGCACGGCCCGAGGGCCAGTATTGATTGGAGTTAAAACTAAATGAACATTGAATGGAATTAATTAGCCCTTACCGATTCTATGGCTGAAGCTTATTTAATAGCAATTTATTTTTATGCAACTTTCAAAGCATGATTCAAGAAATACATGAACAGGTGAGACGTTATGGAGTTATAGTTCAGCAATTAATATCAATAAAGACTAACTATAATATATAAAGAAATAATAAATAAAGAATATAGATATATCTTAGCTATGTCGTCGTCTACTAAGTCGTAATGGACGCAAAATTCAGGCATATAGTAAACTAAATTTGATCAAAATGGAGATATAATCTTAAATAAAGATCTTTTATTGACTTTAATTTCGATTAAAAAAAAGTATGGTTGGGACAAACTAGCTTTTTCATTTATAAAATAATGTTTTAATTTATTTTTATTTTCATATCCCTATAATATTAAAATTTGTATGCCAAATACGCCAATATAATAGACTTAACCATAGAATAACCAACTGTGGAGTTACGCACCCTCTCAAGTAATCAAAGTAACGGTATTTCTTTAATATCGTAAAACGCCAGATAAATTTAGCCATGATTTCATTCCACCATTGCGCTCCATTAGTAGAATTTATAGAGTAAATTCCCTATGGGCGGCTGTGACCTTTACCTGAATTCATCTGAGTAATTATTTGTGGGACGTAAAGTGTAAAGTGAATGACGTATACGAATAGTTAAAATTTCACGAGGGAAATTTGGACATGTAAATTTCATTATTAGATTTAAAATCTCATTTTATGTATAGTGCGGCACCTATAATACTTGAAGTATCATAGAACATAAGATGCCGTAGCCAGAGTACACAGTTCAATTGTCAAAAAAAAATTAAGACTTTCTAAATAAATTTTGTAGTAGAGTATCTCCACCTCATATAAATAGAATAAACTAAAATTAAATGGTTGCTAGATCTCCAATGTTGCCAAGATACAGCATAAAACATATATAGTGTTTATTTATACTAACGCGCTCGTATTTGTGTGTTCCAATTCTTGTAATAAATCCTTCAATGTAACTATCAATTACTTAAGTGTAAGTGGAAATTGAATCTCGAAAGGATTGTAATCGCATCATGTCAATTAAAGTTTAATTTTCTTTTAAAATATTACTAAAAAAAAAGGTTAAAAGGATTTAGTTTAAACGTTCCATAATCTACAATTATTTAAAACGTATTGCGTCATATAGTAAATCATTAATAATCGGGATAAGATATACAAAAACTTATGTATGCTTATTTGGTT